ACTGGTAGTGACGTCATGGCTGTCGCCGTCCAACGAGTTGGTGTTTTTTCAATGCATGTTTCAGACACGGGTCACGACGAGGCGTTCCCCATAGCGACCCCTAGAGCAGTGTTTCTCAACTAGGGGTCCGTGGACCCCTAGTAGTCCTTGACATAAGGCCAGGGGGTCCGTATAAAGTATGAATTTTTGTATAAATTTTGTATATTTTGACATGACATGTTCCCATGAAAGAAAAATCCAATATAGCTGATGATATGGCCAAATACTGGACAAGTCAGCTAACTTGAATTATACTTGACTGTATTTCCTCACAAATGATACATAGATGAGTCAATTTTGTTCTGGGGGTCCTTGAGGATGGTTCTGAATTGGACTGGGGTCCGGTACGCCAAAATGTTGAGATTCACTGCCCTAGAGGACGCAGTGTCTCGTTCCCTACTCAGGGAACCATGGTTACATAAGTAACCTGAGACGATTTTTTTTTTCATGTGAAAATTTTACATGGCATGGCTGGAATTCCAGCTCTTCTAAAAGATGATGACTGTGTCAAATGTCCATAAAATAAGCACAGAAAACATGTCAATACAGTTTAATGCATATAAATATGAAAGGCCCATTATTAATGTATTCTGTCTCAAGCAAATAATGATCATAATGCATAGAAATAAACACGTTAGTGGTCACATTTGTGATCAGCAGGAAACCCAGAGCATCATTTCATTAAATGAAAATAAATACATAAATAAAAATCCCCCATAATTGTTGAAAGTTTTTCAATTGTACTCAGTATAATACACATCAACTGGTCACTGGGGTTCCTCAGGGATCAGTTCTTGGGCCCCTCCTCTTCTCTATATACAGTGGGTACGGAAAGTATTCAGACCCCCTTAAATTTTTCACTCTTTGTTATATTGCAGCCATTTGCTAAAATCATTTAAGTTAATTTTTTTTCCTCATTAATGTACACACAGCACCCCATATTGACAGAAAAACACAGAATCGTTGACATTTTTGCAGATTTATTAAAAAAGAAAAACTGAAATATCACATGGTCATGGGGTACTGTGTGTACATTAATGAGGAAAAAAAATTAACTTAAATGATTTTAGCAAATGGCTGCAATATAACAAAGAGTGAAAAATTTAAGGGGGTCTGAATACTTTCCGTACCCACTGTACACTACCTCACTGGGACCCATCATTCAGGCACATGGTTTTTCCTACCATTGCTGTGCTGATGACATGCAGCTCTACCTCTCATTTCAACCAGATGATCCAACGGTACCTGATCGGATCTCTGACTGCCTGAAGGACATCTCAGCATGGATGAAAGAACATCACCTGCAGCTCAAAGACTGAGTTTATCATCTTCCCAGCCACCCCATTAGTACAGCACCAGTTTACCATCCAACTGGGCTCATCAACAATAATCCCATTATGTTCAGCCAGGAATCTTGGAGTGACCTTTGATGATCAGTTGACCTTTAAAGATCATATTGCTAAAACAACACAATCATGCAGGTTTGCACTACACAACATTAGAAAGACCAGGCCCTTCCTAACAGAACATACAACTCATCTCTTCTGTGAGCATCTAACTAAAAAAAAAAAAAATTCTGCCTTCACTTTTTCTTGTCCTAGCTTTAACTATTTTGAACGATGATTGAAACCTTTTATAGCGGCCGCTTCTCGTGTTTATTGCCAGCTTATGATAAATTGCTTTTTTTTGTTTATTCCTCAACTGTAAGTCGCTTTGGATAAAAGTGTCTGCCAAATGAATAACTGTAAATGTAATACAAATGCTTACTTAGCTGGAATTAAATGGGTTCATGTTGTTTTCATACATGCACATAAAAAAAAACAAATGTTGCTTTTAGCATTTTTATTTTTTTTAAGTTTTACTTGCAAGAAATCCAAAACAGAGAAACTGAACTGGGGAAAATGTTTTATTTTGATCTGCTCCATTTGTTTTTGCTTAGTAGTACAACTGATGCTTCATCGATGTTTTATTCCTCACACTCAGGCAAATGCATCACTCCATCATAACATATTTGTCTTGGGAGGTTTTGGGCTTTTAATTTTTTGCCGCTCTGACATGCAAAATCGATGCCTTCATTATGTGGTGAGATTATCTTTTTCTTTGACACCCACAGCAACTCTATACCTCTTTCATCCATTTCCTCCACTGTCACTGTACAGGGCTCTGAAATAAACACAATATGTCACTGACAGTGTTAAAATATACATTTATTGATTCATCACAATGTACAATGTAAACTACAAGATTACATCAACTTTACAAATAAAAATACAGTGAGAAAAGCCTCTTTGATGTATATGGAGTGTAGTGTGCAAACTTACTTAAACAATAAATATCCCCTTTCCATTCGCCTTTCTCACAGGTCAAGTATCTGGAAAAGGGGTGACGCAGATCCGGTTTGTATTTATCAAAGCAGCTGTATTCAACTGTCTCCTCTGTATTGTATTCATCTTCTGTCATTTCTTTTGTAGATGCATTGCTGATGTTTGGTGGTGGTCCGCATTTCTCTGAGGGCAAAGCAAATATATTTTCAGGGCTGGATTTAGTGATTTGGGGGCCCCAGGCAAAATATAGGAATGGGGCCCTTCCTGAACCTTGAGGTTCCTTTCACTGTTGTGATGCTCGCTGCTGCACGACTGTGTCCCATAGTTGTGTCCAATCTTCTAGATTTGTCATGTACATGTTATAAATAATGGATTTCTTTCATGCTGTAGACTCCTTGTTCACATTTAAACAGGTTATAACAGTATTAGAGTAGGTCGGACACCAGGTGGTGCACAACTCAAGCTGTCTAATTCTAAACTTTAAAATACATTTTTTTTTTTTTAAATTACAGATCTAAATTAAACTGAAGGAAATTATACATTTAGACGCTTAAGGATTATTTCAGCCAGTCATGAAGTGTGTCTGTGTGAAAGTAACTGTGCATGCGTCCTCTACTTGTGTCCTTCACAGAAACGAGTAAGCACCATTTAAACCAATAAAAATCATATACCCTTTAGTGTTAAACTATAGTTTTAGATGCATGATGTTTTCATTTGTATGGCCCTATGAAACCCGTTTTATTTTTCCCAAATTAAGTTTTACTTTGTTCCAAAATTCTTTTTTCTGGATTCAGTTTTTCTTCTTCTAGATTGTTATATTACATTTTATTCAAAAAGCATGTCTAATTGATTGAAATCATGAAACTTGTTTAATCTAAGAGCAATTAATTAAAAGTTTAACAAAAAAATTACATTCTTAGGGCCCAAATTCTGTTTTCCATTTAAATTTTTCTGTATTACATTTTAATAGTTTAATCTAAAACATATATAATTAATTGAACTTAATTTATTAACGTGTATATAATAATAGGGCCCTATGAAATTTAATTATTTATTTTGTATTTTTATTTATGTAGTTGTTTTATTTATTTATTTTTTCTTTAGAAATTCTGTGTTGTGTATTTAAATTTTTCTGGTAATCAAATGAAGGCAAAAACATTAATCTATCTTTTATTCCAATGAAAATTAAACCAACCCTTTAGTTTTGTACATTCAAAGTGCTACACAACAGAGGTTTACTGTGTAACGAGGAATGCTATGGAATGCCTCCAATTTTAAATAAATAAATCAAATGCAAATCAGTACACTTCAATCAAACCGTGATATGGACTAGTGTATGTGAATATTAAATGGCAAAAATATAATTTACTACAGACGGCGTGAGTTCTGCGTGTGCTTCAGTAATAAACAAAACCGCACGTCTGAGTCAGTCATTCCGTCACATTCCGAATTACACAGTAAATTCCGTTTCTATGAAAGGATTCCAGGATTCCGTCCCTGTTTTCCGCATCGCGGAAATAAACACCACAGCAACCACTGAACGCACATATCGTATATAAAAAGCATTTTAGGGGGCCCTCGGCTTTTGGGGGCCCAAGGCGGTCGCCTACCTTTGCCTAATGGTTAAGTCCGCCTCTGGATATTTTATTATTATTGTTGTTGTTATTATGAATTATTCTTTCTTTCTTTCTTTCTTTCTTTCTTTCTTTCTTTCTTTTTCTTCTTATTTTATTTTTAGACTGTCATCACCAAGAAATGTCGCATTGATAAATCTCAATATTAGCCAGATGTCTTTTTAATAGTCCTAAACCATAGACCTTAGTTTTTTCTGGTTGATTCCTTGTTGTC